CAGCCACTTGAATTTTGCTACCGGTTCCCCAGGGGTCAATTAGGTTGCTCCAAATCCAGGCTTCCCCTTTGAGCTGGATCTGCTGGGGAAATTGCCTTCTTTGTTTGTTTGTTTATTGTTGTTTCCTTGGGTGTTTTCTTTGGGGGCGTGGGATGGGGTCTCACTTGGCGCGCAGGCTGGCTTCAAACACACAGGGCTCCTCCTGTGCCTCCGCCTCTGGGGTGCTGGGATTCTAAGCACGAACCACCCCCCAAGGCTGGCAGTTGGCTTTCTTTGTCATCTCCACTCTGTGGCCCCAGCAGAAACCTGGGTTTCAGCCTCATCCACACCCCCTTTTTTCCCTCACTGCCCCCAATCTGCTTACTCCATCCTCAAATCCTGCCGCCTCCTCCTACACATAATTATCCAGTGAAAAACTACACAGCACTGCTTGCAGAAATGAAGGAAGCCCAGAGTCCATGGTGAACTATTTCACGTTCATGCACAGAGGGCTCAGTGTTGCTGCAACACCAGTTCTCAAAGCAACCTTCGCACTCAGTGCTGTTCCACCCACAGTCCTGGCCGGGTACCGTGGCCCACGCTGGTCATCCCGCTACTCAGGAGGCTGAGGCAGAAGGCTGACAAGTCTGAGCCCAGCCTGGGCAACTCAGTGAGAGCCTGCCTGGAAATAAAACATAAAAGGGGCTGAGGACGTAGCTCCGTAGTACAGCACCCCTTACTTAGTGCAATCCCCAGTACCAAAAATTCTAAAAAGTAAAAAAAAAAAAATTTTTTTAAACCAATCTGATTCTGAAGTTTCTATGGAGATACAAAGGGTTTAGAATAATGAAAACAGCCTGGGGAAAGGACCTAGCTGAGACCTTATGCTACATGGGTGTTAGGCTTATTGTTGCCCTAGTAATTAAGATGGAGTGAGACTGCGTCAGGGTGATCAAAGGGGTGAGTGGGAGCGAATGGGCAGCTCGGAGACTTATGTCCAACTGAATTAGGGCGCCATGCTGGACAGCAGGGCAGGGACAGACATGGCAGGAGATTAGAGAGCCGGGATATCAAAGTTGAGCCAGTAGAGTTATAAACACCGGGAAAATATTTATTTGCTCTATAATTGAAAGAAGACAGGGCCAGGGATTTAGCCCAGTGGTTCCACCATCTGCCTCGCAAGTGCAAGATCCTGAGTTCAATCCCCGGTACCAAAAAAAGAGAAAAGACAGAGACACAAAAGAGGACCTTGATGTTGTCAAGTAGCACCAAGGGTCAGGAGCGGTGGTCACACCTGTAATCCCAGTGGTTCAGAGGCTGAGGCAGGAGGACCACATTCAAGGCCAGGCAGTGCTAGGAGCAAGATCAGGACTCAAACAAAACAAAACAAAACAAGGGATTTATCCCTTCCTTATCAGAACCCTTTCTCACCAATTTCTTCTCATGCTGTCTTGCTCAGGGGATTCCAGCCACAGAGGGCTTCTCTCCTTCTTGGGAATCTGGGGGTTTGGTAGGAGACAAACCTCCAGGAATTCCTCCTCCCCCTGCAGCCCTTGGGCTCCTTGGTTCTCCATCAGCCCTGAGAGGAACCAAAGAAAGAAGGCACAGAGGGCTGGGGGCTTCCAAAGCTAGTTTTCCTTGATCTCTTGCTTGTAAATCTAACAAATAAATAAAATAAAAATTGAATAGTAGGAGAGAAAGTGAACATTCCTCAGAAACCTGAGATAATGAATTTTGCTGGCTGTTTATCGTTATTGTTGTTTTGTTTGGGAAGGGTGTTCTTCTGGGGGAGGTGTTTTCTGTTTTTGTTTTTTTCCTTTTGTTTTCTCCACCCCTTTTGATATTTTTACTTTGAGCAAGATCTGCTAAATAGCTGAGGCCAGGCTCAAACTTGACCTCAGGCTCAATCCTCCTGCCTCAGCCTGCCAGAGGGCTGGTGCTGTTAATTTAAATATATTCTGGATGTATGGATATTGTTACTTGTGATTGCTAAAGGTATATATTCTTCAAAAAAAATGTTCCCAAGGCAGTATTTTTGGAATAATTGCAAACTCAGTCATTTAATAAACCCTTAGAAATTTTGAATTTAGGGCTGGGGATATAGCTCAGTGTTGCCACCCCTGCCTGGCAAGTGCAAGGTCCTGAGTTCGATCCCTGATACCAAAAACTGTAAAAAAATTTTTAATTTAGCTGGGAATGGTGCGCACACCTGTGATCCCAGCACTGGGAGGCTGAGGCACCAGGATCACCACAAGTTCAAGACCAGTCTGGGCTACACAGTGAATTCAAGGCCAGCCTGAACAACACAGAGAAATCCCCATCTCAAAAACAAAAGAAATTCTGAGCTTTTCCTATTGCAAATATAGTGATGGGGGGAGGCAAATGACAAAAGTCTAATAAGGGATCTGTAGTCAAGGCACATTTATTTCACCAAAAGGAAGGCAAAGATCTACCAAGCAAATTAAGTCAAAAAGTGCCTTAAAAATTACTAGTTGTGGCTAGACATGGCGATCCCAGCATTTTGGAGCCTGAGACAGGAGAATTGAAAGTTTGAGGTCAGTCTGGAATACATAGTGAGCTCATCTCAAAAATATATACATACTAGGGCTGGGGATTTAGCTCAGTGGTTCCACTGCCTGCCCCGAAAGCGCAAGGACCTGAGTTCGATCCCGGGACAAAAAAAAAAATATATATATATATATATATATATATATATACTGTACACATTTGCAATAAATAATCATCAGTTGTTACTATAGTCTTATCCTTCATTTTTAACTATTACCATTCTGAGCTGGTGTGGTGGCACACACCTGTAATCCAAGCACTCAGGAGGCTGAGGCAGGAGGATTGCTATGATTTCAAGGCCAGCCTCAGGTACCTAGTAAGCTGGAGCCCAGCCTGAATTACATAGTAAGACCTTGTTTCAAAACAAAAATAAAAGCAAAATTAGCATTCTATAGTCTGAACTCTCCATAAATAATTTAACCATCTTTTCCTTTATGGACATGAATCTTATTTTTGCGACAGGGTCTCGCTGTGTAGTCCAGACTGACCTTGAACTCACTATATAGCCCACGCTGCCCTCTAACTCACGGCGATCCTCATTCCTCAGCTGGGATTGTAAGCCAGCACCATAACCAGGCTGTTTGTTTTAACTTTGAATTTGACTGAGGTTATCCAGGTGGTTGACAAGGAAGTACAGCTTGGGGCAGCCTGAGTCAGGAGAGAGAAACTCAGCGGCTCAGGGGAAGCAGAAGCTGGCCCACCCCCTCCCCAGGGGACAGCAGCAGCATCCCGGCATGGGGGAGCAGGCCGCCCAGCCTGGCAAGGACAAAGAGGCCCCTGCCTGCCAAGGGGAACCCCGTGGAGCCATCTTCACCAGGCTGCAGCCCCTGAGCAGGGGACCCAGGCTGCCCTGGCCACTGAGTACCCAGCCCCCAGCCCCACCCAGGGTTCTTGAGCTGCTCAGTGAGGAAGGATGCAGGGTCAGGGAGAGGTGGGGCTGCAGGGCTGGTGTGAGGGGAGGGTGTGGGCAGGGTGGGCCCAGCAGGAGGGGATTTAAACCCGGGTCCTGACAGAGGATCCCAGGTGCGGGGTCAGAGCAGGAGCCAGGATGCAGGACCCTGGTGGCTTCCTGGGTGAGCTGGGCTGGAACCTGGGGGTCTAGGGCTGGGCTGTGGGTGACATCCGGGGGCTGGGGCTGGGGCTGGGGCTGGGGCTGGGGCTGGGGCTGGGGCTGCAGGGAGCACAGTGGGTCCCCGGAGGCCGAGCTTATCTGGGACCTGAGGGCTTCTGGGCCTGCAGAGCTGCGAGGACCTCGTGGGGTTTGGGACTTGGGTCTCGAAGCTGGGTGTGGAGTTGGAGTGGAGCCCTGGCCAGGGCACGGTGGCTCCTGCAAGTGTCAGGGCAGAGGGCTGGGAGAGGCTGGGCAGGCTGCTGTGGGCGGGGCTGGGGAGGCAGAAGCCCTGCAGGCCTCCCTGGGCCGAGGGTCTGGAAGCCCCACAGGAGCCCAGTTAGTCCCATTTCTGAGATGCAGCCCCGGAGGCCCCGGGGTGCAGGGCGCGGGCCGGGAGGTGGAGAGCGGGGGTCTGACCAGGCCCGGTCCGGGTGCCACCGTCTGCCCTGGGCTGCGTCTCCTCTCAGGCCCGGCCTCCCTGTGCTGAGGACCACACAGGTTCATAGGTTCAGATCATTGTGCTGGCCTCTGACCAAATCAAGGAGGCCACATATTTGAGTGAAAGGAAAAAGGGTGTATTCAAAGCCAGCTCCAAGGAGGTAGAGGCTCATTTCTCTCAATCACCATCTCCCTGACTGTGGTGGGAACGAGTCCCTTACAGCAAGGGCCAGAGCAGATCATCTTAAGTCCGTTGACCTCGTTTTTGTTTTTGTTTTGTTTTGTTTTTGAGACCGGGTTTCCCTATATATCCCAGGCTGGCCTTGAACTGGTGGTGATCTTCCTGCCTCAGCCTCCTGACTGCTTATTGATGTCTTTCTTGTGGAAAGGACACTGGGCTCCTGCCTAGGACCTATACCTGCATCTTGTGTCCATTCTTTTGGGTTGAGGAGAGGTGGGAGAGCCATTCATGCCCTAGGCCTGAGGAAGTTTGGAGAAGACACTTGTCTCTAAAGGGAAAAAAAAAAGCTAGACAGGGTCTCACTATAGAGTTCAGGCTGGTCTTGAACTCCCTGTGTAGCCCAGGCTGGCCTCGAAGTCAGTGACTCTCCTGTCTCAGCCTCCTGAGTGCTGGGATTATAGGTGTATACCACCACACCCAACAAATCTAGTTTTTAAAATTCCATTTTGGCCCAGTACTGTGGCTCATGCCTGTTATCCCAGCACTTAGGAGGCTGAAGCAGGAAGATTGCAAGTGTGAGGCCAGCCTGGACTACAGAGGGAGCCCCTGTCTCAAGAAAAACAAAGGTCCACTTTGCAGGGCTGGTTATACCCGTGCCTCAGGGCAGCTGAGCTTCTTAAACCTGTTTCCTTCCTTCTCTGTCTCCCGGATGCCCCAGGCCCCATGGCCAAGATTTATAGCAAGGAGCAGCGTCAGGCGCTGGAAGCACATTTCAGGATGGACAGGTACCCCTCTGCCGAGGCTCAGAAGGCCCTGGCTGCCAGACTCAACCTAAAGGACTCCCACGTGAAGGTGAGACTCCCTCCTCCCTTCTCCGCATTCCCTTTTCTGTTTTGGTTTGGTTTTTGGAGACAAGGTCTTGCCATGTAATTCAAGCTGGCCTCAAATTCATGAAGATCCTTCTGTCTCTGAAACAAAACACAATAAATAAACCCAGGGACCTGGGCGGACTCTTTCCTGGCCCCTGGGCTCCTGGGTTTGGGTCCTATCCCTCCTGGACCCTTCCTCTGCGCCCCGACCCTGCCTCTAATTGGGTCTGGGGTGGAGGGAGAGGCTTGGGGCCCACCTTTCTCTCCCTGCACCCCAGTTTCCTCCATGTCCCCTTTGTCCCCCCAGGTGTGGTTCTTGAGGCGCCGGGCTGCCTCTCTTCCACCAAAGCCTGCATCAAGGGTGCAGCGTCTACAGGGTCTGCGCCCTCTGCAGGGGCCCGCCGTGTGCACCCACTTCCTCCTCTGCTCCGGGCCCCACGCCTGCCCAGCTCCTGCCCCACACGAGCGGCCTGGGCCTGGGCTTGAGGGTGAGGGTACCCCTGGGCCTCCAGCCCCTGCCCCGGATGCCCAGGACACCTTCAGGATGCTCTCTGTCTCTACCGGGACCCCTGAATTCCTGGAGGGGGCGACCCCTGAGGACCAGGAGAAGGCAGGCTCAGCCAGACTGGGCTCCACCTCGTGATCCTCCTGCCCCAGCCTCCTCAGTGCTGGGATTACAGTTGTGTGCCTCTCACCCGGCTGGTTTCTACTATTTTTTATTTTGATATAAAGTCTTGCCAAAATGCCTGCACTGCTCACATGCGCGATCCTTCTGCCTGGCTTCCCAGAGTTGCTGGGCTCCCCGCCTACACCACCATGGCCGGCTCGTGTTTGTTTTGAAACAGGACCTCACTAAATTGCCCAGGCTGCCCTTGAATTTGGAATCCTCTGTCCTCCCTCAGCCTCCCGAGTAGCTAGGATTACAGGCATGGGCTACCTCCCCCCAGCCCCTGTTCGGTTTTCCTTATTTTTGCTTGGGTTTTTTTGGAGACAGGCTCTCACTAGGTAGTTCAGGCTGGCCTTGAACTCACTGTGTAGCCCAGGCCACAACTCTAGTGATCCTCCTGCCTCAGCCTCCCAAGCACTAGGATTACAGGCATGGGCCACCACTCTCAGCTAATGCTTTTGGTTTTCCCCCTTGTTTAAGCTTCCTCACATGGCCGCGAGAGTATTCTGCAATCTGTACATTCTGTCTGTAACGAGAAGGCTGCCCTATAGAGTGGGCTTCATGGTGTGGGGTTGGGATTCCTCTCAGTGGATTCCCAACTGAGAACCCATAGTTACTCTGTCATAAATCAAAGCTCCCTCTATGCAGGACCGAGTCTGGAGTCTGGTCTGCTTCGGTCCACAGCTTCTCTCCTTACACCAGTCGCCCACCGCCCCGCCCCTTCCCTCTGTTCTGCCCTCTCCTGTCCTCCACCCCTTGCCTGTGGCCGCCTGGCCCGTGTCTGCTCACAGCTGGTCTGACCCCATCCTGGTCCCCATTTAGCAAATGCTCCAATCCTCTTAGGGCCGCCAGCCTCAGCAGACACAGGAGAATTAGTGGGGATTTGAGGGACACATGACAGGCAGGCTCAGGCTGGGGGCCACAGCTGCCCCGAGCCTGCCACGTAAACCTCCCGCTTGTCCACAGGAACCAGGTAGCAAGTGACAGAAAAACGAGGATGGAGAGGGGAAACTGAGGCACCAGGCTTTCTTCAACCTGAAAGCCAGAGCAGCCAGGGTCCCCCTGCCCGTCTCCTCCCTGTGACAGCAGATGTCCTGTTGGCTCTTGAGGTCCTTGGTACCCACAGCCTTCAGCCTTTTGTGAGGGCCTTCACAGAGCGACAGAGCTGAGGCACAGTCCCCAGGGCACAGCAACTGTCCAGGCAGACGTGTGAGCCGGGCTGCCCAGCCTCGGGGGTCCTGCCTGCTGCTCGGACGCTGGGCGGGGCTGTGTGCACAGCTGGACACCCTGTGACCGCGTGACGGGCGGCCCTCACATGTGCAGCCAGAGCTCCACAGGCCACAGCATCCACGCCCAGCACAGCCTGGCCTGAAGGGGCCTCCAGTAGATGATGATCTGGGGAAATGTTTCGGGGTTTGTTTTTTGAGATAGGATCTCTATGCAGCTCATGCTAGACTCTAGCTTGAAATCCTCCTGCCTCAGCCTCCCCAATACTGAGACTTTTTTTTTTTTACACTGCTGGGGCTTGAACCCAAGTACTTATCCCTGAGCTACAACCCCACCCCTTTTTTGTGGACAGTCTTCGCCCCACCCATGGTCTCACTATGTAGTTGAAGCTGGCCTTGAACTCACTATGTACCCCAGGGTGGCTTCAAACTTGGAGTGATCTTTCTGCCTCAGCCTCCCGAGTGCTGGAATTACAGGCGTGTGCCACCATGCCCAGCTGGACAGTCTTTGTTTTGTTTCTCTGTGTAGTTCAGGCTGAACTCATTCATGTCAATCCTTCTGGCTCAGCTTCTCGAGGGATAGGATTGCAGGTGCGCACCATCACACCCGACTGGACAGTCTTACCATGTTTTGGGGTTTTTCCCAAGTATTGGGGATTGAACCCAAGACCTTATCCCTGAGCTACATCCCCAGCTCTGTTTTGTTTTTTTGTTTTTTGAAAGTCTCAATATGTAGTTCAGGCTGGCCTTGAACTCACTATATAGCCTAAGCTGGCCTCCAACTCAGTGACCCTCCTGGCTCAGCCTCCCGAGTGCTAGGATCACAGGCCTGCGCCACCCAACCGGGCTTACTATGTCACTTCGGCCCTGCTCCCTTCCCCTCCTCCCCTGGCCTCTCCAGGCCAGGATTCCCCAGCCTGGACCTCAGCTAATGCTGCACCTGCCCCCGTCCTGGAACCCAGCCAGGCCAGCACCTGCAGAACATGAGCCGGGTCAGAGGTCGGCAGACAGGGCTCGGGACGAGGGTGGAGGAGGCCCAGACCTTTCTCAGGCCCGAGCCCGCCTCCCCAGTCTCCTCAGTGCTGAGTCCGGGGTCAGCTCCTCCCGACCCCGGGCCGGTCGCCTTTGCGTGTTTAATGAAGAGTGAGCAGTGCACTTTCCCTTCAGCTCATCCAGCTCTCCAACTGCGCCCTTTCTCTGGGGACGATGATGGGATGAAGGTGTTTGTTTTGTGGTTTTTGAGACTGGGTTTATGTAGCCCAAGCTGAGCTCACAGTGATCCTCCTGCCTCACCCTCCTGAGCGCTGGGATTGCAGCCCTGCATCAGCAGAAGTATTCTGTCCAGCACACATGGGGGCCTGGCCTCAATCCCAAGCACCGCACACACTCACAGGCTCACTCTCCCTCACAGGAAAGGAATCTAGCAAACTCCTCCATCCAGGGGATCAGACAGGTAAGCAGGCATCCAAGACACGACTGACAGTGACACTCTTCTGTCCTCCTCCTCAGAAACGTGTCACCTCAGTCTAATCACAAGGAAAACACCAAATTCCAACAGATGGGATCCCACACCGCATAGTGCTCTTCAAAATTACCAAGGTTGCCAAAAACATGGACAATCTGAAACACCACATAGTCAAGGACCCCACAGGAGAAACCACCACTAAGTATAACTCACACTCAGTGTCCAGGATGGGAGCCTGGGCCGGAAAAAGGACACCGAGCGAAAACTGAGCCAGGCGCAATGGTGCAGGCCTATAGTTCCAGCATTTGGAGGCTGAGGCAGGAAGATCATGAGTTTAAAACTAGTCTGGGCCACATGGCCAGACACTGTCTCAAAACAAAAAAGCCTGAAGAAATCCAAATACAAGCCAGGCGTGGTGGTGCAGGCCTGTAATCCCAGCACTGAGGAGGCTGAAGCAAGAGGATGGCCATGAGTTAAAGGCCAGCCTGAACTACAAAGCAAGACCCTGTCTCAAAAAATAAAAATAAGAAATCCTAATACATTGTAAGCTTTAATCAGTAAGTGGATCAGTGTTGGCTCATTCATTGTAACACATGTGCCACTCCAAGACATTAAGTGGGGAGACTTGGGGAACTGTGTGGGAACGCTACTACCTCCTGATGCTTCTGTAAACGTAAAGTCAGTCTTAAAAAACTGGGAGTTTTATTGGGGGGGGGTACCAGGGATCGAACGTAGCACCTTGCACTTTCGAGGAAGGCATCGGAACCACTGAGCTAAATCCCCGGCCAAGAGTGTACTTTTGAAAAAATATTTAGGTCGGGTTTTTTGTTTCTTGGTTGTTTTGACCCAAAAATCTGGGTATGTACCTCAGGCTGGGCTTGAACTCACTATGTAGCTGGGGCAGACCTTAAATAAAAATTAAAAAATGTGCCTGCACAGCTTTAGCCACTTAAGCAGCTGTGCCTCCCGGGGAGCGGTCCTCTGTCGCCCCCCTGTGGCCACCCTGGTCCTGGCGCTGTCCTGGTTGGATTTGACACACCAGGCTCCTCCAGGCTAAGGCCTGCCAGGTGGGCAAGGAGCAGAATCAGATCCCAGGGAAGAGGCTGACGGACCGGGGCAGACAGAGTGGAAAAAACAAGAACCCTCCCTGAACGGAGCCCACTGAGGCAGGGACAGACCCAGACACACCCCAGGTGACCCAGGATGGGGGAGAGCAGAGTCCCCCACTTTGGTGCAAACTCCTCCTCCTGCTGAGCCTCACCTGCAGCTGGCATTTCAGAAGAATCATAAACTGGCCTGGTGGTGCACTCCTGTTATCCAGTACTCCAGAGGCTGAGGCAGTAGAATCCCCATGAGTTCCAGTCCAGCCTGGGCTACACAGTGAGCTCAAGACCAGCCTGAACTATATAGCAAGACCTTGTCTCAAAAAAAAATATTATACAAAGATCCAGGAGCCTGGGTCTTGTTTCAGTGAACACCGGGCTGCACCTGTTCCCTCTGCAGAATTCAGTACTATCAAGCGCCTACGTAGCAGCAAAGGGAGGGGGAACAAGGAGCTGCAGGGTGGGGACGGACACACTGGACACAGGCTGTGCACTCATTCACCTTTATTACTGTGAACCATTTCTTCATTGGCCTCTGTTACTGGAAACGGGGTCCCTACCCTGACCCTCAGCTCCCCTGGAGGAGGAAGCCTGAGGCCAGATGTCACCAATTCGGAGGGGGACCCGAGGTATGGGGGGTGAGGCAGGGAGTGGGGACCGGGAGGTGTGCAGGGGCAGATTCTGGCAGACACACATCCCACAGAGGCAGAGACTGCGGCATCGACCTCCATCCAACCCAGCAGCGGTGAGAGCATCGGGGAAAGACCAGGCATCCAGAGACATTTCAGTCCCTCCCGTCATGAAGCATCGCTGGCTGAGGTGGGGTCAAGTTCCTGAGCTGCAGGGAGAGAAGGGGGTGAGGGAGCCAGTTAGCAGGGAAAGAGCAGGGTGGGGCCGGTGTTAAAAGGAGAAGCCGAAGCCGGGGTGGCACAGGCCCATGATCCCAACACTCTAGAAGGCTGAGGCAGGAGGATTCCAAGTTCAAGCCCAGCCTGCTCAATTTAGCAAGACCCTTTCTGGGGCTGGTTTTTTTGAGATGGGGCCTGGCTTACAGTTCAGGCTGGCCTCAAACTCTCGGTGATCCTCCTCCCTAAGCCTCCTGAGTGCTCAGATTACAAGCATGTGTCACCATGCCTGGTGCAAGACCCTTTCTTGAAGTAAAGGGGGCAGTGGCTCAGTATGAAGAAGGCCCCAGGTTCAATCCCCAGTACCACCAAAAAAAAAAAAAAAAATTCTAAGAAATGGAACTTGAGCTGAAAGCATTTAGAAACTAGTTTTCTGGCACAAAGCATGCTGGGAGCAGCAGTGCCCAGTGTGTGGACTGGGACATTGGTTCTAGAACAAAGGAAAGACTGGAAACCATCAGAGATCCAGGAAATGGTGGGAAGTAGCTCTAGGCTCTGGAGTCAGAGGGCAGAGCCCTGCTCTGGACCAGTCTGGCAGGCAAGCCTGTTCCGGATGTGGGGCTCTCATGGAACAAAGGCAACAAACCAAACCAGACTCAGAAGGCGCTGAAAAGTGTGTCTAGTCTGAGGGACCAGAAGTGGATGCTTTCCCATACACCGGCTGGAAACTCGCACCAGGCAGAGGTGACACAGGACAGCCCGTATCAGTCTGGGAGCGGCCAGCCATGGTCAGGGCATTCTGCAGTTCCTGCCGTGTCACTCTGGAGAGTTCCTAGAAGGATCAGCACCTGATGGCAATTAGTGACCTCCGTCTCCAACACACTGGGAACTCTAAGTGACCCCCGCACAGGAACAAAGACTTCAGCACCTCTCCTTCCCAAAGCAGGAGGTGGGGAAGGGCTGCCCTCCGCCCTCACCCTCGGACCCAAGGGCAGTACCGGCTTCCTGGCCCTCACCTCTGCCTTCAGGGTGCACTAGCCCTGAGCCAAGGCGGCTTTGATGGCGGCCACCAGCTTCCGAAACTTGCTGTTCGTGTCCACGAAGCCATCACCTCCCTGGGAGGGGAAAGAGGAGAGGTGGGCTGGCCCCATGCTCCAACTTCAGCCCACCCACGTGCTGTCCTCACAGGCGGACATACACACCTTCTTGGAGTGAACCAGCTTCCCGGCTATGGTCACTTCAAAGAAGCCGGTGGACTGGGGCGTCCCCTCACCACACTGAAGAGAGATACGGCGGGTGGGGTGGGGATCAGTGCCCTCCAGGACACCACCACCCGCCCCCGTCCCAGGGTGTGGGCAGCAGCAAGTGAAACCCTTTGCTCCTGTTAGCCCACTGCCACTGAGCCCGAGGGAACAGACAAGGCCCCATCTGACTCCTCATCCCCTTTCCAAGACTCACGATGTCTAGGCATCCGGGGAACTCATCTTCCAGCTTCTCCTTGAGCTGGAGATACTGAGAATGGAGGGGAGGGGGTCAGAGTTTGCAAAGCAGCCCCCTCCCCAGCCGCACCCCGCATGCTCTGTCCCCAGGCACCACCTGGCGGCCAACCCCTTACCTTGGGCTTATAGCCTCAAGCGCCACTGGAGAGGTGGGAAGCAGAGGTGAGATGGAGGGGCCAGGAGTGAGGAAAGAGGGACAAAGAAAGCAAGAGGCGGCAACATCCCCACAGAAGAGAGAAGACAGACGGTGATGAGGAAATGCCCAGAGACAGACACAGAAACCCGGCCCGGGCAAGGAAGACAGGAGACACAGGAGAGGAGGCAGGAAATAGAGGTGACAAAGCAATGACAAGAGAGAGGCGGGGCAGGGAGGGAAAGGGAGAGAACTGCGTTAGGGACGAGCTGTGTAAATCACATCCTTCCCTCTCCCAGCTCCACAGCCCCCATCAGCCCCGGATCCCGAAACCTCCCAGTGCTCAGAAGAAATAAGCTCCTCCAACCCCACCAGCCTCTGCTCCCTCGAGCAAATGGAGACATCAAAGCTGGGACAGGTCTGAGCCCGCATGGGTGTCACACAGACCCAGGTTGGAGCAGCCCTGTCACCTGCAACTGTCACCTGGACCCCAGGCTGGTTTTTGTTTGCTTTTGTTTGCTTCTCCCTCTCCAGCCCAGGCTGGCATTGAACTCCTGATCCCCGAGGGCGGGGTTTACAGGCATCAAACTGGACCTGCTCCTGTGTCACTACAGCCTGTTTCCTCTCCTGTAAGATGGACAACTCCCCTTCCATAAGGCGTTTCCGGGAGGAGAAATTCACTGAATGGGTATTTACTACGGGCCTACTGCACGCCAGCAGAGTCAGGTACTGGGGACACACTGAATAGCATGAGAAAATCGCAGGTCTTGTTAAGACTTGCCCACTAGCGGGGAAAGGGGACCAAAGATGTCTAGATGTTCAGTACCTGAACCCGTGGCCCCCATCAGCAGTAATTGTTTGGACCACACCACTGTGCACTTAGATGGGAAAACTGAGGCCAGAAAAGAAGTGGGCTTAGCAGCAAAGGGCACCCACTGGGTTGGAGCCCAGAATGCCTTTTTCTTTTTTTACACAGGGTATGCAGTGCAGGCTGCCCTAGCTCACTATAAATAGCCATGAACTCGCAGAGATCCTCCTCCCTCGGCCTCAACAGGCTCAGACTACTGCAGGCGTGCAGGCCACCACGCCTAGCTTCGTTCAAGATTTCTCCTAACACAGGCAGGGCCATTCGAGACCTTCTCCCCGAAGGGTCCCCAACAAGAGGCTCCTCTGGACGTGGGGAGGGGAAGCTAAGCCCGGGCGAGGCGCCCTCCACCCCACCCCACCCCACCCGGGCCGCGCAGCGAGCCGTGGGCGTCGTTTGTCCCAGGCGCCCCGCCACCCGGGACTACCCCTCCTCTGGCGGGCCCTCGAGATCCTGCCCGAGGCCCAGCACCGCTCCCACGGACCGAGAACGGGAGGACGGGGTCGGTGGGACGGGGTCCGGAGGAACGTACAGGGGGACTCTCACCAATAAACGACTCGCACCGATAGGGCCATGACGGCGAGCAGCAATGGCAACAACCGAGCAGCTACCTCCAGCTGCGCCGCGCTGCGTGCACTGGGCATGCGCAGAGCTGGGCTCGGCCCGCGGCGCGAACCAATGCCTGGAGGGGGACGGAGACGGGCAGGGGCAAGGGGCCGAGGCGGCTGGGGCGCCAAGCCCGACCCAACACTCCCGTCTGCGTGTCAGGCTGTTCCCATGTTGGACCAGAGGGGGTCTCGGCCCAGGGGTTCCCCGACAAGCCCACTGCGTGTCTCCTCCTGCCCCCTCCTTGAAATGGTATGGCCAGGGGGAGCTTCCCGGCCAGCCTCTGGGCGGGGCCGGAAACGGGCGTGAGCGGGAGGGTGAGCCGGGGCGGAGGCGCTGAGGTGCTAGACCGCCTCCTCCCCAGAGAGGCCAGAGCCGGGAGACCCAGGATTTGGGACGCCCTGGACCGGAGGTGGAGAAGCTGTGAGGTCCAGGGAGCCTCCAGGCCCACCTCCCTTCAAACACGCGGGCGCCTGATGACCCCACAGACCCTGTTTCTTTGTTTTTTGAGACAAGGTCTCACTATGTAGTTCAGCTGGCCTCGAACTCGCATCGATCCTCCTGCCACAGCCTCCCGAGTGCTGGGATTATGGGCATGCCTAACAGGCCAAGTCTAACAGACTTTCTTTGGGCGCCTTCCTCCTATCCCCAAGCGGAAGGGTTGGTGCAAAGTGCTGAAATTGGGCGGCTGAGTTGGGAGGTTAGGATGACGCCTGTCTCTGAGCCTCAGTTTCTCCCTCTGGAAAATACGGGTACTCACCTGCAGGAGACGTTTGCTCGTTTATACATATGTCCTGGTACCGACTGCAGTGCTAGGTTCCAGGGATGCATCGATGGAGACACAAAAAGCCCTTCCCACAGGGCAAAGGTTTGGCAAGCAGGAAACAGGGCGCAGGAAAATAGTGCTTCCGCCTGGCAAGGCGCGAACATCGAAAGCCTTCGTGTGCCTGCGAGGATCAGGGACAAGGGCGGGAGCTGGGGCAGCTCCCTGAAGATCAGCTCTGCCAGAGGCTTCCGCCTGCAGCCTGGTCTCCTGTGGCTGCAGGGCCCCAGTTATTAGGCAGGTTGTTAAACATTGGCAGGCCTGAAGGACAAAGGAGGGGTCCAAAATGGTATGCATTGCCGGTTAAGAAAGGGGTGTCCAGGGCCGTGGATTTAGCTCAGTGGTGCCGCCGTCTGCCTCTCAAGTGCAAGGTCCTGAGTTCGATCCCCAGTACCAAAAAATAAAAATAAAGAGAAAGGGGTGCCCTGGCCGTAATGTGTCTGCTGGTTTGAGGAGCTGTGTGTTAGTTGATTTAAGACCCAAAGACGCAGATGGAGGCCGGAGGACGTATCAGCATCAGCGCGAGGACAGTAGCAGGTCCGGGTGAGGTAGAGACCAGACCAGCCCACGGAGGGCAGCAGCTTTCGGGTCGGGGAAAGGGTCGGAGCTTCAGCCTGGGAACGAAGGAGGGGCCGAGTGAGGCTCTTAGGGGCCTTAAACCGGGAAGTTAGGATGGGGAGGTGTGGCTTCAAGCTAACGTTTCAGCCTTTCATTATAGGAAAATAGAGAGCTGGCCGTGGTGGCACATACCTGTAATCCCAGCACTTGGGAGGCTGAGGCAGGAGGACCCTATAAATTCGAGGCCAACCTGAACTACATAGTGAGACCCTGTCTCGAAAAAAACAAAACAAAAACAAGGAAAGTGTCGGCTCTGTCTTTTAAGGCCATTCACACTTGGTGTTGACCCAGGCTGACTGGAGGTGTGGGGGTCGGGGGTCGCCGTGTAAGCTTCAGATAACAGAGACAGACAGGGTGGGCATCTTGGGTCAGAGAGGGCATTGTCGTCTAAAGGCTGAAGGTTCGATTGAGGGTGTCCCTAAAGGCTGGGCTAGAAGGCCATCTTTCTCAGGGGCCAGTGTGATCAAGAAAGAGAAGCGGGTGTATGAAGACGCTGTAGATCGCGGCGCATTTTGAGGCGGATGAATCAGACCCAGTGGGGTAGAGGGGCCCCAGGTCAGGCTGAGAGGTTTTCAGGAGGAAAACCGAAGGAATCTGGTGGGGAGTTTTCGCAGAGTAGGAGCACACAGCCACCGAGTAGGAGAAGACGGGTCCCGGGTCCGCTGGAGGTCTGTAGGTTTGACCGAGCGATCAGTTTTTCCTGTAGGCGGAGACCGAGGAGTCAGTAGTTGGATTTGCACCTGTGTGGAACAGGTGGGGTTTGGCTTCTTTTTTAGAGATGAGATTTAGTCCAGAGAAACTGAACGAAGTAGGAAGACCAGAAAATGCTGTTACTGTTGGTGTGGGAAGGATAACAATACAGAGTCCCTGTTACTGTGGCCTCAGGGTTTGGGGTTCAGGGTTTTGAGGTAGACCCTGTTTCCTGGCAGGCAGGACTGGAATAGGAGCGGGGTTGACCTCAGGTGAGGGCGGGTGTTGCAGAAGTTGTCCAATTAGGGCCTGAAATCCCAGCACTTGGGAGACTGAGGGAGGAGAATCACTGGCTCCAGTGCAGCCTGGGCAACTTACGGAAACCCTGTCTCAAAATTTTAAGAATGTTAAAAGGTTGGGGATGTGGCTCAAGGCCAGAAGACTGGTTTTGTACAGAAATTATTTCCACTCCGGAGGATACGTTCAATAAAGGTCATATCCTAAAAATAAATAAGAGCATGTTTTTTGTTTTCTTGTGAGGCAGTCAGACTGACAGCTGCTTTTGCTGAAAGCCATTTGCTCTTCACGTGGCCTGCAGCTGCCCAATGGGTAACTAAGCGCCACAGGAAGCCTGCGCCTCTGCCTCCATGTGGTTCTGGCTCCCTTGTGGCCTTTAAACTTTTCCTGTATGTAGCCACATTAATCACTTAGGGAGCCTCTGTCTAAAAACTGATAACATAGGTTTATTAGCCCTACCCCGCTTCAAGACTGAGGACACAAAGGCAAGAGGTTTAAACCGGCCGTGGTGGCACAGGCCTAAAAGAAGGCTGAGGCAGGAGGATCACCACAAATTCAAGGCCCGCCTGAGCTACATAGTGAGACCCTGTCTCAAAAACAAAAGTTTGTCCTGTTGCCTCAATTTTAATTTCCATTGTCACTGACGCAAGGACCCACCCTGGCCAGTGACACTGAGTCCTAGCAATCTCCAAACTTGAGGGTGCTATGAGGTCGACGGGTACCCATGGTCAGACCCTGATGGGATGGGAAGGTCAAAGGAAACAGTTAATAATGAAACACAAATCATCCACGCACGTCTTGAGGGAGAGTGGCTGGAGGCATTGCTTTATGAAATGAAATACTGGGCATGTTGGCTCCCGCTTGAATCCTGGCACAAAGGAGGCTGAGGCAGGAAGATCACTCCAAGTTCAAGGCCAGCCTGGGCTACCTAGTGAGTTCGAGGCCAACCTGAACTACATAGCAAGACCCTGTCTCAAAAAATAAATAAATTTTTTGCCAGGGATTTAGCTCAGTGGTTCCAGCACCTGCCTCACAAGCGCAAGGTCTTGAGTTCGATCCCCGGTACCAAAAGAAAGTAATAAATAGATAAATTTTTTAAATAAAGGTTCTTTTTTAGGGTGTTTTTTTTGGGGGGGGGGACCAGGAATGGAACTCAGAACCTTGAACTTGCCAGGCAGTTGCGGCAACGCCGGGCTACATCCCCTGCCCAATAAAGTTTCCGAATATAACACAATGTCCTATTCTCCAAATGGCCACCAGGAGGCCCTGCAGACTGGCCCCATGCCTCAAGATCTTACGCGCCGCGGCTCCCTTCAACCACGCTGGACTGTTGCTCAGCTTTTCGTTTTGCTTTTTCTTTTTTCTCCTTTTTAAAAATTGAGAAGCCAGATGCGGTGGTGCACAACTGAAATCCCAGCACTTGGGAGGCTGTGGAGGGAGCATTGCTACGAATTAAATCCAGTCTGGGATACATAGGGAGACCTTGTCTCAAAAAGCCAATTAAGGGCTGGGGATTTAGCTCAGTGGTTTCGCCGCCTGCTGCGCAAGCACAAGTGCCCGAGTTCGATCTCCGGTACAAAAAAAAAAAAAAA